TTACTTACCTCACTCGCATAAAACCGAGCACTCAATTCACGTACTAACTGACAGAACGATCGGGAACCTAATCAAAACACCTCAGAATTAATATCGGACTATCACACATTCAAGCTGAAATCATCATTAAGATCACTCCTAATCACAATGCTATTTCCTATCAATCTCCACATGATCAAATATCTCCAAAATCGTTCTCATATCACAAACTAATCATTTAAATCCCCGTTAATTGTTGGCCCTCGGTGTGTGAACAGTACCCATGAACAGTATCCACGAACAGTAACTCTACTTCCACAAATTAGCCAAAACACTAACTAATTCACGGGATTTTCTCCAAAAATCACATAGCAGTCAATTAACACTCAATCATATAATTTCCACTTGAATCAATGCTTAAATCTCATCCTAAAGTTACCGGAATTATCCCCCATTTTTAGCCAAATTCGGACATCACAAAGCAGCAACTTTAAATGGATAATTTAAGCCTTAAATGGCTGTCACGTACCAGAATTTTCCAGCTACAGAACCGGACATGGCAGGGGGAAGAGGCCGGCGGCAATTTGGAGAAGAAGCTCACGGAACTACCCAAAAATTGGAGGAACAAGAGCAATTAAAGTAAACCCAAGGCAATTCAAAGCTAGAGAAGGGAGATTCATGGCTGTTTCTTACCCAAAATCGGAGCAAATCACCCCCACAAAGTAGGAGCAGCCGGCGGAAGGACAAAGCAGAGCAGGGCAGATCCGGCTTTTCCAGCAAGGGGGAAAGAATTTCTGGGTTCTACATGTGTTGTAGAGCAAGAAAAGAAGGAGAATTCCAAGCTTATCTCACCAATTTTCCAAGGCATGGCTGGGTTCCTCTTTTTTTTCCTTCGGGTGGCTGCAGCGGGAAGAGATGAGCAGAATCGGTAAATGGCTGGGGAAGAAAGAAGGAAGGAAAAAGAAAAAGAAAAGAAGTCATCCTTATCCAAACTCTTCCACTTTTTAAGTCCCTCAACTTTCAAAATGTTGGCCATCAAGCCCCAAAACAATCTTTCTTTCTCAAACAAGTCCCTAACTCACTTAAATATTCTAGAAAATTTTGGGGTATCACATTATATCTACAAAGTAAAGATAAAATTTTATTTAACCTATTTTAATAAATTTTTAATCTTTAAGTAATTTATTTTTACACCTAACATTTAATTTAGTAGTTGATTTTGTTTAATTTGTTAAATTTTATTTAACACATTAATTAATATAATTACATTATTTATTAATATATTTAATTAATTTAAAACTTGATTTTATCTAAAAAATATGTGAATATACATATGACATTTCGTATAAAGTTATCACAATTTTTTGTCAATACTTGACTTTTTAAATTAAGAGTAGACTCTTTTCAAATAAGAGTAGACTCTTTTTCAACAAGAGTCGACTCTCATTAAAAAGAGTCGACTATACATAGCACTCTGAACGTTTTTAATTCTCTGGAATTTGGGAGTCGAATATCCACCATATATAGTCGACTCTTAAATGCTCGAGAGTCGAATCTTTGTTCCTAGATTCGACTCTTTAATTAAAGGCATATATATAATAGCCTTGACCAACTACTAGGGAAAAGAAATGTACTATGCAACTTTCAACAACATAAGCCTTGTTGCTGATATAAATTTTTAGCAACAAGAGATATCTTGCTGAAAGTGGGGCTCAATTACATAGGAAAATGGTTACCGGAAAATAGGAAAATGATTACCGGAATATATCAACAATATGGGGTATGTTGCTGAAATTTACTTTCAGCAACATACTCCTTGTTGCTGAAAGTGGAGCAACTTTTTAGGAAAAAAATGTACCACGCAACTTTCAGCAACATAAGCTTTGTTGCTGATATAAATTTTCAGCAACAAAGGATTCCATGTTGCTGATGTATTGTTGCTGAAAACTTAAATTTTAGTAGTGTGTATTACAATTAAAGTAGCTTTCATCCATCTTAAATAATTTTAAGGGTGCACCCTTACAGTGGTATAGTTCATATAAGAAAATTAACCAAAACTTAAATTATAAACCTAACATATAACAACAATTATTTATTAATAAATTCAACTATTTTGCGTTAATCTTATTTTTATTAAATTCTCTAATATCTAGAAATCACATTATACTTCAATTAATTCAAAGTCATGCCCCTATTAATATCCTAAGCCTCTCAGTGTTAATCTTTTAAAATCACTTAACTAACCCCCTATTAATATTTGTTAGTAAAAGTAGAGATGAAAAATAATTGTCTTGCACTGTATCATCTAACCAAAAAAAATTATCTTTCTTTGCTTTTTGTTTTTTTTCCGCCCCCTGCGTTTCCTTTTGTTTTTTTTTTAAAAAAAAAGGGAATTTCCACCTAAATATACATTCAACTACTAATTCACGGTACCAAATTACTGGGAGCTATAACTTGGTCACCAAAGGATCAAAACGGGTCGTTAGGTGCAACCAGGAGTCCGTCTGCTTTGTCGATCTACCTAGCAGCCCGCACGTGGCTCTTAACGAGTGATGCACATACCTGTTGGAAGGTCTCTTTGTATACACCCAAACAATCTTTCTTAACATTCCGGAGGTAAATTAAAGGGTAATGGACCACACATGATAAGGTTATACGTTTAATCTGCAGGCTTTCCTAGGCTTAGGGTTTCGGCTCCTCTCTTCTTTGAGAGTGGCATTGTTTTATTTTGTAATTTTTTTTTTTGTTTGAAATTTGGTGTAGGTGTCAACTAATGGCTGCTGTGGGACAAGATGGACTGGACAGGGTTCAGAAGGAGTGGAGGAACTAGGGGGAGCCATGAGGAGAGCCCGTTACAGCTTTCAATAGCGGAGGGCGAAGCTGTAGTGTTGGTGAATCCGGTGGATCTATCAGCTGGGAAAGGAGCTTGTGTTTCTAGGATGGGGTTGGGATTGTAATGTCGAGGAAGCAATTCAAATGTCCTAACAATGGAGAGGACACTAGCATTAGGGGAAGGAAGGTGGACCTGCGCTCTCGAAGCGGCGACATAGGCCTTGGAGACGGCACTGTCGGTGCGGAACCATGTTTGTTCGTGAGTGTTCATGTCACACCCCAAAACCCAAATCCGAGGCGACGCCGTGCACTCGTGAGACAGATCCCACAAATGCACAAGGCTCAGAACTTGTTCAATCCCAAATCTCAAGAATAAATCTAACTTACAAAAGGATGATAAAATCTAAAACTTATATCCAATTGGAATGGCTAGCCTTTTATCTCGTCACTTCCCGTGGTTTCCGTGTCTCGGGTCCTACTACCTGAAATGGTGGACAAGGGAAAACTATGAGATAAAATATCTCAATAAGTAAATGTATGGATAGCTCGTGGGTAAAATTTGAGCATTTCAGATAAACAGTTTAAACATAAACAGAATGCTCAATGATAACCATTATGCAGAATAAAGTTCAGTGGTAGTCAATTAAACTTATAACATGCCAACAAGTGTAATCAGAAAACGGATACAAGTACGGGAACGAAATAGACGTCTCCTCTATAGGTCACGGCCAGTGTTATAAACCTCCCACTGGCAGGCAACAGGAATTACTAGTGTTTAACCCCCACTAGCAGGATTACAGAAATACCAATGTTTAACAACTCCCACTGGCAAGAGGAACCGGCTCTACAGAAATTCACGTCGACATGTGCTAGCGTTTAACTCCCACTAGCAGGATTACAGAAACATGACCACATCGGAGACAAAACAGGCTAAAGTTAACAGAAAAACATAATTCACCAATCGCTTTCAAATCATCAGGACAATCAAATAAACTTCAAACAGACATGTTCAAATCAATAAAAAGAATAATAATCTTATTTCAAATCAATCATACTTTCTTTTGTATAAAACGGGTTTAGTCCCGCCACCATTTCAAAACAAGTCAAAACATGCTTTTAAAAACTGTACGGGCATTACCATAAATTTACTTACCTCACTGGCATAAAACCGGGAATTTGACCCCATAGCTCTAAGCCACACAGCACCTACTATTCCAGATAAATATGTTCTAAGGTCAGATTGTGCATATATATATATATTTACATGTACACAACACACACATCTTTTCCCAATCTCCACCAAATAAACTACTGGAATTACATTTTCACTCTAGTATTCAGTCATGAGTTTCAATTCCAGAAATCCCGAGTCTTTATACACAACTTAAGTAAAACTCTGCTTTAAACCTTAATCATTCCGATACCATTTCTCTCCAAATTTTAAACAATCTTCAGTTAACATTGTAGGCAAGTTCACTACCAAACACCTCCACCTAATTTCCCCAAATTCCCACGGACAGAAAAATGGGGAACATGTCTTGACAAAACTGCAACTCGCACACAGATTTTTCATATAGAACCCCACGGCAGCAAATCAAGCAATTTCCTACCTAAACCAAGCTTAAAACACGTTTAAAAGGGCTGCTAAATTCATCCCCTATCCCAGCAGATTCGGACAACACAGAGCATCAACTAATGGACAAAACCCAGCAATTAAATGGGAAATTTTAAGCTTGGAAAAGCCGGCAACTTACCAGAATTCCAGCCAGCAGAACCCGAGCTTGGCTGGTGAGGAAGCCAACGGGATCCATGGGGGAAACTCACGGCAAACTCCAGAAATTCAAGAACCAATAACGAAATTAGAGTAACCCAAGCCCAAACTAAGGGAGAAAGATGAATTTTATGGCTGTGGCTTACCCGAAAAAGCCGAAGGATTCAAACCCAGCAGAACCCGACGGACAAGGGAGGAAGAAGCAGAGCAGATCCGGGATTTCTGGGTTGAGGGAGAGAATTCTAAACCCCCAAATCTTGTGATTAAGCAAGAAAGAAGGAGAAAATTTCATCAAGCTCACCGAGTTTTCAAAGGAGGAAGGAGTCGGTGGCTTTGGGGGCTTTCGGGAGGAAGGATCGAGAAGAAGACAGAGCAGACCCGCGTGAAAAATGAGGGAGAAAGGAAAAATATCTAAGCTTAATCCTTATCCTAATTTATTTTCTTTTTAGTCCCTGAACTTTGAAAATTTTTGCCATTAAGTTCATTAATAGTATTTCTTCACAATTAGGTCCCTAACTCTCACTTGATGCTCTAGAATTTTGGGGTATTACAGTTCATATAGGGAAAGAGCGAGATTTCCCTGTTGAAATACCTAATTATTCAAAAGTTGCTTTTATTTAGGAGGAAATGTATAGAAGTCAATTTTTTATTGTAGTTAATAGAGCCGGATTTGTTCTTAATTATATTTGGGGAAGTAGTTATTATGGGGTAGTAATCTCACCAATCAAAATCAATTAAGTTTAGCTTAATTAGATGGCAGTATAGTGATTTGGGATTTTTAAGACTCGTTAACCTGAATTGCACATTAGAATAGCTATAGAATTATACAATAATAGTCCTTTTCTGAGTCTCTAAGAATTTAAAGGTGGTCATTTATGATTCGTATATCCCTTTACAACACTTCATTTGATATTGATAAGATTGCTTGTCATTAAAAAAAAAAAACAAAAAAATATGAAAAAAACATATGTATAAAATTTATATGTAAAACTTATACATAATAAAAAAAAAATATATAAAATAACAAGAGCCACAAAAAAAAAAAAAAAGAAAAAAAAAAAAAGTGGTTCCCAAACAACTTCCCTAAAGAAAAAAAAAAAAGCCAAAAGGAAAAAAGAAAAAAACTAATGCAATAAAAGCTTTATTTTATTTTATTGTAAATTGTACAATAAAAGACAAATATCTTTCATATTTTATTTCTTAAGAAACATTTTAATAATTAAGAACTTAAGTCCATACCTTAGAAAGCTCACCCACATCCTTATTTTTCAAATCCAAAAACATCTCTTAGTCTCTTACTTTAATTGAAAATAAATTATTACTTATAGTTAAGTCATTTTCGCCTTACTATTATATGGAATTTTAGTAATTCATTATACTTCTCAAAAATTTAAACTTCTATTTTGGTAAAAAAAAGAGTGTATTAATTAGTTAGTGAGGAGTGACTTCGACCATTTTATATCATTGTTTTCTCCAATATTACAAACACAAAGTCAAGCCAACTTGCTTATGCTAGCATGCATGTGTGAATATTGCATTTTCAAACAAGCGTGGGAGCATGCGGACAAGTGACGTTCGATCACAGGAGAGTGTTGTTAAATGAAGCACTTCATATATTTTTAACAAATAGTTCTAATATAGAAAAAATAAAAAATAAAAAATAAAAAAACCAATGCAAACGATGCATTTTTTTATGTGAATAATGCATACTCCTTTAAGGAAAAAACAAATCAATTAAAGGTAAAGCACCGTCATTTTATTCTTGTTCACAAAATTAAATTAAGCATATATGCGAGCATATAAATAAACTATAAATAAGGTATTAAAGGAGAATACGCATGCAACTCTCACACTTTGTATTATTTTACAATTGACCTAAGCATGCATGATTTGGAGCTAATTAACCACCACATATATATAGTTTGAAAAATATGTACTTAACATCTCAAATCATAAAAATATATTCTTGATCCCTTATAGTTTGAAAAATATACAGTTACCCCAAATAAAAATTTCATTTCAACTTTTTTGTTTTTCTTGATTTGCAAAATTACACGAAACTCATTTAATAATTAATACCCAAATAAAACATCATATTAGAGTACTTCAAAAGGAAATCAAATTTAATTAACAAAAATAAAATTATTAAAAAGAAATCAAATTTCACTTCAATTCTGGCATTTAGCTAATCTAACACTAGTGTTACTTCTATTGAGTCTTCTTAGAGTTCCATCTTCTCCTCAAAGCTTTCCTTGTCCAAATTCCAATCTTAATCACCCGATACATGAGCCAATATGGGTTTATAGGTATAGACCACGTAGTTAATTAGTTATTACCTAATTGAGTTAAGAATAATTTATTAGATGTGTTTTAGATTCATAGATTATAAATGTTTGTATTGAAGGTTACAAAATATATTAATTTTTAACTTTCTTTTGAAATTATTAAATTTAATTTTTTTTAAAAAAATTTTAAAGAGTGGTAGTTTTGCCTAACCCAATCTGACACTCACATGGCTATATTAATAGATCATAAATCCACTTCTCTAATTTAAAATATAAAATGATCCAACCCAATAGGCCTAGGGATCCGAGACCGAAAGGTGATCCAACCCAACAAGCCCAACTATTTGCCTGCTCTGAGTGCACTTAATGTCTTAATCAACCATTGCCCTCGGGCCCAAATTTTACGTGATGCTGTTTGTTGGGCTTTAAAACCACTCTCTACCCATATCATTTTGAACATGGAAGATTGACAATAAAACCCATATACCCAACTTCAAGCTTCTTCTGTAATTGGGCCCAGAAAAGCATTAAAAAAAAAAAAAAAACCTCATCGTCTAACTTCTAAAATTAAAAAAAGAAGAAGAAGAATGATTTATATATTTAAAAAAAAATGGAAAATTCAAACCTAAAATCCTTTGGTCATGTTTACTAAATTTAAGGATGGCAACGGATCTTCACGGGGGCGAGGACCCCTTCCCCATCCCCATCCCCATCTCCACCAATGGCGGGTACAAGATCCCCACGGGGATTTTTGGCGGAGGTTCAAAAATAGCCTCCGTCCTCATATCTGCGGGAAATGATAGGTCCCTGTGGGTATTCGAAGTCTCCATCAAATAAAACTATCATCTCCTCCACTATTTGTTAATCAAAACTAAACTCAACATGAGTCTACTTAGACTCCATTTGTGGAAACTAATGAGTTTCCACATTCATTAAATAAAACTAGTTCAAATAATCGTATAAAGTAAAAATTTGAAACAAAATAAACAAGTAGTAAATATACATAGCTAATATATACATGTCAAGCAGGTCCAGCAAGTTAGCAACAAGTTCATAAAGAAAAAAGGCATAAACTGCCATATAAGCCCAACAAATCCAGTAAAAGATTCATAAAAAAGAAAAGACATAAACTGCAACTGTCATCAGCAAAGTTCATAGAAAAAAATACATAAATTGTTGCTACACATGTCCAGCAATAAGTTCATTAAGAAAAACGACATAAAAGAGATGAGTTACTAGTGACTGGTTGAGAGATTGGAGAAGAGCTATCGAGTTGAGTGTGAGTGAGAGATGGGAGAAGATCAACATTGCAGTGGTTGCACAATGGGTAGTGACGGTGACAGCTTGAAGAGAATCACAGATGAGGATTGAGGAGCAGAAACAAAGTTATAACGTAGAGCCACAGAAGAGACCGAAGAAGAGGAATCACAAATTTG